AAAAAAAAAAGGCCTTAAAAATGTTTTACTGGGTCTCTCTTATATTTTGATTTTCACAAGTACACATTTAACTCTAACTAGACTTGAAAATACCTTTAATTTGGCTTTTTTTTGAGCTTCAAGAGCAATCTTTCTTAAATCCTCAGTCTCTTTCTGTAACTGTTCATTTTCTTGCTGAAGTTTCAGCCTTTGTTCACTGACAAATCCACAGTTTTCTCTCTCAGACTCCAATAAGTTTTGAAGTTTCTGAATCATTTCTTGGCAACGTGATATCTCTTCTGAGGAACTGATAAAAAAAACAAAAGGAATCCTTAATTAAACATAATGATCTGTAACAGAAGTCAAGCACTCTGTTTTATAGTATAGAGTTGTTTTCTTTGTTCTGACTCATTTCTCTTCACAGAGGATTTTCTTTTTTTAATTTTTATTTATTTATTTTTTTAGATTTACAGCCAAATTAGTTAGCATATAGTGCAACAATGATTTCAGGAGTAGATTCCTTAATGCCCCTTACCCATCCAGCCCATCCCCCCTCCCACAACCCTCAGTCTGTTCTCTATATTTATGAGTCTCCTCTGTTTTGTCCCCCCTCCCTGTTTTTATATTATTTTTGTTTCCCTTCCCTTATGTTTATCTGTTTTGTCTCTTAAAGTCCTCACATGAGTGAAGTCATATGGTTTTTGTCTTTCTCTAATTTCACTTAGCATAATACCCTCCAGTTCCACCCACGTAGTTGCAAATGGCAAGATTTCATTCTTTTTGATTGCCGAGTAGTACTCCATTTTCTGTGTGTGTGTGTGTGTGTGTGTGTGTGTGTGTGTGTGTATTTATATACCACATCTTCTTTATCCATTCATCCATCGATGGACATTTGGGCTCTTTCCATACTTTGGCTATTGTTGATAATGCTGCTATAAACATGGGGGTGCATGTGTCCCTTCAAAACAGCACACCTGTATCCTGTGGATAAATGCCTAGTAGTGCAATTGCTGGGTCGTAGGGTAGTTCTATTTTTAGTTTTTTGAGGAACCTCCATACTGTTTTCCAGAGTGGCTGCACCAGCTTGCATTCCCACCAACAATGCAAAAGAGATCCTCTTTCTCCGCATCCTCTCCAACATCTGTTGTTGCTTGAGTTGTTATCTTCACTGAGGATTTAAACTATGTGGTTTCACAATGTTATATTAGCCCAGGCAAATACATTCAGCTTAGCAATCTTGACTAATACACTGAACAGTTACCACTCACCTATAAAATCTATGTGAAACTTTTTTCAAATTTTTACTAACACTGAGAATCACTGTGTAACAAGGACTTCAAGAGGATAAACTGAAGCTAATGATAAGGAAGGTGAAATAGATAATGATCAAAACTCCTTTACTACTTTGATTAACTCCATAGGAAGACACATTAGCTGTCTAGATTACTAAATTACAATAAGACCTATTTCATATTTTTCTGTTGCATGACTTAAAAATTTTTTTTATAAACTTCCAGCTCTACAAATCTCATTTTATCAGTTTAAATAGGTTATAGTTCTTGAACTTTCTCAACAATGGATTATTGGGTAACACAACCTTCAAACATGTATGTTGCTTCAATATGCTAACAACTTATATTCCTATCTTTTAAAATTTCTATCTTTTCAAACCCAGCTAATCAAATACTGTGAACATTCTCTGGTCAACAGGTGTCAGAGGAAATATATATAAGGTCCTTTAGTTCCGTATACTATAACTCTTTTTTCCTATTCAACTTTGGCTGATAAAGTTTCTAATGAAATGATGGATCTAGGAAATGATCAAAGGATGATAAAATCAGAAAGATGCTAAGATCAGAAATAATCACATATTTTATTTTTCCTTTTCAAATTTTGATGTAAATTTTAGTTAACATACAGTGCAATATTGGTGTCAGGAGCAGAATTCAGTGATTCATCACTTACATGTAACACCAAGTGCTCATCATAACAAGTGCCCTCCTTAGTATCCATCACCCATTTAGCCTATCCCCCACCTGCCTCCCTCCATTAACTCTCAGTTTATGCTCTATCTTTAAGGGTTTCTTAGGGTTTGTTTCCCTCTCTCTTTTTTCTCCCTTCCCCACCATGTGTTCATCTGTTTTATTTCTTAAATTGCACGTATGAGTGAAATCATACTGTATGTCTTTCTCTGCCTGACTTATTTCACTTAGAATACACTCTAGCTCCATCCACGTTGCTGCCAATGACAAGATTTCACTCTTTCTTATGGCTGAGTAACAGTCCATTGTATATATGCTGCCTCTAATTTATCCACTCATCAGTCGATAGGTGTTTGGTATCTCTCCACAGTTTGGCTATCGTTGATAATTCTGCTATAAACATCAGGGTGCACATATCCCTTCGAATCAGTATTTCTGTATCCTTTGGGTAAATGCCTAATACTGCAATTGCTGGATCGTAGAGTAGGTCTGGAAAAGAGTATGGAGGTTCCTCAAAAAGTTAAAAATAGAACTACCCTACAACCCAACAACTGCACTGAACAATGTTTATTCATTTTTGAGAGAGACGGAGAGAGAGCACATGCACATGAATAGGAGAGGGGCAGAGAGAGGGTGACAAAGGATTCAAAATGGACTCTATGCTGATAGCAGAGATCCCAACGTGGGGCTCAAACTCACGAACCCTGAGATTATGACCGGAGCTGAAGTTGGATGCTTAACCAACCAAGCCATCCAGGCATCCCTCCTGTGATAGTTTTTGACTTAAATTCTATTTGTCTGATATAAGATACTCCTGCTATCTTTTGGGCACCATTCGCATGGAATATCTTTTGCCATCTCTTCATTTTCAGCCTATGTGTTTCCTCAAGTTTAAAGTGACTCTCTAGTAGGCAACATATAGTTGGATCTTATTTTCTAATCCATTCTGTCACTCTGTCTTTTGATTGGATGATTTAATCCACTTAAATTAAAAGTAATTACTAATAGGTAGTAACTCGTGATTTTGTTGTTTTCCATTTTGTAGTTCCTTTGTTCTTTTATTCCTATTTTAGTTGTCTTCCTTTGTGATTTGTTGAATTTTTGTAGTAGCTGCTTTCATTCCTTTCTCTTTACCTTTTGGATGTCTAGTACACATTTTTTTTTTTTTCTGATTAGCATGAGACTTACATAAAACGTCTGTTATGAGTCTATTTTAAATTGGTAACAATTTCAATCACTTTTATTTCTCTCTCTCCTCACATTCTGTGTTATTGATGTCATACTTTACATCTTTTAAATTTTTTTTTTCAACGTTTATTTATTTTTGGGACAGAGAGAGACAGAGCATGAATGGGGGAGGGGTAGAGAGAGAGGGAGACACAGAATCGGAAACAGGCTCCAGGCTCTGAGCCATCAGCCAAGAGCCTGACGCGGGGCTCGAACTCACGGACCGCGAGATCATGACCTGGTTGAAGTCAGACGCTTAACTGACTGCGCCACCCAGGCGCCCCGACATCTTTTTATATTGTATATCAATTATCACATTATTGTACTTCTTGTTATTTTTAATAATCTTATCTTTTAGCTTCTATACTAGAGTTAAAAGTGATTTATGTAGTACTATTATGAGTCTTAGAGTATTCTGACTTTGGCAATATACTTTCCTTTACCAGAAAGTTTTATTCTTTCACATATTTTTGTTTCTAATTAGTATCCTTTTAGTTCCATTTGAAAACTCTAGCTTTTCTTATACAGCAACTCTAATAGTGATGCACTCCCTTTTGAGCTTTTGTTCATCTTAGGAAGTTTTTAATCTCACTTTTACTTTTGATGGACAACTTTGCTGGGTATAGTATTCCTGGTTTGCACTTTTTTTCTTTCAGTACTTTGAATATATCATGCCACTTTCTCTCTGCTAAAAAGTTTCTTCTAAGAAATCCATTAATACTTTTATTGGGGTTGGAGGGAGTCCCATGTATGTGATGAGTCACTTCCTGTTTTAAAAATTCTTTTTTATTTTTGGCAATTTGATTATAATGTGTCTAGGTGAAGACCTCTTGATGTTGAGCCTTTCTGTGATTCTTTGAGTGTCATGGATCTGGATGTTCAATTCCCTCCCCAGATTTGGGCAGTTTTCTATTATTATTTCTTTACAAGCTTTCTGTTCCTTTCTCATTCTCTGCTCCTTCTGGGATTTTCATAATGTGTATACTAATTCACTTTAAGATGTCCCATAACTCATGTAGGTTTTTTTCAGTCTTTTTCATTCTTCTCTTTGTTCCTCTAACTGGATGATTTCAAATGACCTCTCTTCAAGCATGCTGATTTTCTTCTGAATGATCAAGTCTGCTACTGAAACTCCACAGAATTTTACAGTTCAGTTCTTCAGCTCCAGGATTTCTGTTTGTTTCTTTTTAATGGATTCTACTTCTTTGTTAAACTGCTCATTTTGTTCATGTAACATTTTTCTGATTTTATTTAGTTGACTCTGTTCTCTTATAGCTGAGTTTCTTTTTTTTTTTTTTTTTTTTTCAACGTTTATTTATTTTGGGAGAGAGACAGCATGAACAAAATGAACGGGAGGGCAGAGAGAGGGAGACACAGAATCGAACAGGCTCCAGGCTCTGAGCCAATCAGCCCAGAGCCCGACGAACTCTGCTCAGACCACGGACAGATCGAATGTGACCTGGCTGAAGTCGGACGCTTAACCGACTGCGCCACCCAGGCGCCCCTAGCTGAGTTTCTTTAAGACGATATTTTAAATTTTTGTTAAGCAGTCCATGGATCACCATTTCTTTTGGGTCAATTATCAGTTTCCTTTATTAGTTTATTAGTTTCCTTTGATGATGTCATATTTGCCCAATTCTTTCTTGGTATCTGTGTATTTGAAGCAGATTCCTCTTCTAGTCCTTACAGACTGAAGGAGGAAGACTTCCTCCTGCCAAGTCCCATAGCTGATGAGGCTGCTTCTGGGATTGTGGTTGAGCAAGGCTGAAACCATGTCATGTGACTACTGCCAAGTTCATGTTTGGCAGGCATGTAACCAAGGGCACTGTCAAGTGTTTTGTCCAGTGAGTTCCTAAAGGTGCTCCTGTCATGCCACTGAGCTGGTCCATATGTGCATAGGACTGTTTCTGGACTGTGGTAGAGTGGGACTAAAGCTGGGTCACAAAACTACTTCACAGATTGTAGTCAGTTCTGAGGTCAGTGGGTCTGTAACTGGAAGCATCTATGGGTGTAGCTTGTGCTGAGTCTTTTGGGTGGTTGGCTGGACGCCTAGCCATGAAAGACTACCTCAAACTGTGGTACAGCAAAGCTGGATCCATGTCTTATGGTTTTTGCTAAGTCTGCAGTCAGGTCTGTGGTTGGTAGGCCTGTGACTAGAGGTGTGGCCAGGTGTGACTTTTGCTGGGTAACTGTTAGTACTCCCAGAACTGGGCTGGTTCTGGGTGGCAGGGTTGCTTCCAGACTACAGTAGAGTGGAACTAAAGCCAGGTTGCAGGGACAGTAAGGTCTGAGTTTGGCAGGCCTGTTATCAGAAGCACTCACAGGCATGGCTTCTCCTGAATCCCTAAGTGGAAGAGGCTAGGTGCAGGACTGTCAACAAGCAGGGCTAGAGCCAAGTCCACATGTAGATGGGGCTGCTTTGGCCCACAGATAGGACCATAGTATATGCTGGCACTGGTGTGTAGGCCTGCCTCCCTGTTTTGGGGCTCCAATAGTGATTTGTAACCTCCTACCTGGATCCCAAAGCTTTCACAAAGGCACTTTTGTCCAGGGATGCCTTTCACATATTTGTTTCTGTGGAGGGATATGGGCTGGGTACCTCCAATTCATTCCACTATATTGCTGACAGTATTCATCTTTATTTTTAAAATATCTATCAAACATATTCTGTAACAGATTGAGATTTCATGCAATTCAAATTAAGTTTTACTGTATTAAGTAACACTCTGGCAGGAAAGGTAGAAAATTAGTTGGAATGGATATACCAGATTATAAATTTACCATTTTAATAGACAATGTAATAAATAAACATGAAGGATTATTATAGAATATTCAAAAAAAAAAGAAATATAAGTATAAACTGATTATAAAAGCAATAATTGTAAGGAAGCTACTGCAATAGCTTAGTTAGTATGAAGAAAAACCCAATCTTATAAGCATTCTATTTAACTGCCAGAAAGGAGAAATTTGATATAAATGGTATAATACTGTTGAATCTTTTCTTCTGAAACAAATTAGTTTTCAGAAATAAGCTTGAAAAAAATTCTATTTGGTGCTAAATTTTTTGTCCCAACATATATATAAGTCCTATTTAAGAAAAGTAAAGAATCTGTCAAAAAGTATGTGAATTACAAAAATGTTAATAGAAAATATAAAATAACTTACTTTATTTCAAGTTGTTTTATTTTATTTTCTGCTGTCTTAAGTCTTAGCTGAAGATCGTCTTTTGAACGCTCTGCAACCAGGCATCTTTGGTGCATTTCCTCTAGTTTTCTGTAATCACTTTCATTTACTCTGCCTTCATGGTAAATCTGCAAAAGAAGCTTATATGTACTACCTTACAGAAGAAAACTGTCTTAACAAATTATACAGTGTAGAAACTGAAGTCAATGGATAAATAAAAAACCCATAATCATGTGTTCATCTGTTCCCATTGTAACACACTAAAACATATCAATAATTTTGGTGTTTCATATTTATAAAATAAAATGTTGAAAACTGACATAATTGCTTATTTTTTGAACTTGTTCATGCTTATGCTAAACTATTCAAAAAGTTTTATTAATGTGCTGTATCATGCTGACTGATTTGTGAATACTGAACCACCTTGCAACCCAGGAATAAATCCTATTTGATCATGGTGAATGATTTGTTTTTTTTAATGTATAGTTTGGATTCAGTTTTGTCATTGAGAAAACTTTTTCTCTTTTTCAGTGGTGTCTTTATCTGGTTTTGGTATTAGGGTAATACTGGCCTCATGAAATGAATATGGAAGTTTTCCTTCCTTTTCTATTTTAGGGAATAGTTTGGGAAGAATAGGTATTAACTCTTCTTTGTTTGATAGAACTTCCTGTGAAGTCATCTGGTACTGGGGACAGTTTCAATATTTTAAAAAGAAATATAAAATAGTTGAAATAAAAAAAATACTCTAAATGTCACCACTTAGAGATAACTGTTTTGATTCAATTGTCTTGAATACCTTTTAAGAAAATTCTATATTCTGGTATTAAAAAATACAGACATATGCTATGGAGCAATGAGTAGAACTATCTGAAAGTGACTTCAGAATCTTACTCTGGTTTAACTAGACAATGATCTAACTGAAACGGGAGTTCCTCTTTCCCCAACGGGAATGACTGTACCCAAGCTCAGCTTCTTATAAGACTAAGCTTCCTACCACGACACAGGGGTTATAACATCCCAAGAAGTGTGAAGTTGCCAGGTGCTAAGCAGCTCACATTTTCAGACAAATCCCACACAAGGCTATCCTCTAAATCCAGACTGCCTGGCCAATAACCTGTATCTTCTTCCACTGAAAAGACTGCTTTGCCAATCCTACTCTATAAAAAGGTAAAATATCAGCAAGTTAATGTCCCACTACTAAAATACAGGCCTATAGTACAGTCCCAGCAGTGCTTTGACTTCAGCACACTTGTTTGTGGGACAGTGGGAGAATTAGGGACCTGTACCTTCTCTTTACCTGTTGTCTTTAGTATTGTAAGTTTTACATTTCCTCAATTAAGCCTATTCCTTACTCTATGCCATGTAATATTAAGAAATTCATCCCAGCCCTGGTGTATAGCAGGTGGCAATCTAAATGGGATCTATACCTATTCCATAACATATAGTAACTCAGAAGGAATCAACCTTGCAGGAGAAAGATGACCATAAAGGTCCCACTTGGAATATGACATGTATGCTATATGCTGCTTTGTAAAGGACTCATTTACTATCTGATGTCATGATCTTTTTATGTCAATAACACATATATGTCACATGCTTTTTACTGATTGCTAAGTTTACTGATTTTCTTTATGCTATGTAGCACAGCATGTATGTACTCTTCTTTGAAATTCAAAGTCTGACTGTAACATTTAGTATTTGTTAACATTAGGTAACTTACTTAACCTCTCTACAAAAGTTCCTAATGCACCACTTAAAATACCGTATATTCTGCACCAAGTGTAGTCTCCATTTTTTCCCAAGGTATTTTACAAGAGTGGGATATTTACTGATGATAAAAAAGCTATCTAAGTAAGAAACAAATTTTAAACTACACACTTCTTACAGTATTTTTTCATAAATATCATTTGGGTAATATTTTTCTACTTACAAAATAAAAACCTATACTTTTAAAAGGTTAAAATCAGAGCAATGTTGTAATTTTCTGGTTATACATATTTGTATTTATAGATGGCCTGAACCCAATAAAAGTTGGCATAGAATTTAAAAACACAAGGAAGATGAAGTAAAATTTACTACTGGAATAAGGTTTAATCAAGGATAGCTACTTCAAAAAATGTACACCTTTAAGTAAAAAGTACAAGTACTATGGCCACTCTTATAAAGAAATGTATTCAGGCAATACTAGTATTTAAGTACAGATTCTGAATATATTCCAGGTAAAAACACTCACTTATAATATAGGGATTGCTAGTAGGCAGTGTGATGAAAGCAAACAGTAATAGTGAATATCTGCAGTTGAGTTTAGGTATTTTTTCCTTTTTACCTTTTCTAGTTCTTCTTCCACTGCTTTTTTCTCCCTAATGGCTCGTTCAATTTGGCTTTGTTTTTCAGCACACTCCTATAAATTCAATTCATATTGTAAATAAATATGTTTGTAAAAACTTAAGAAAAAAATGGGTAAAATGATTTGTTTGTAACAAAGAAATACCAACAAACAAATTCTTGTTTGTAACAAGAATACCACACTTACCCTATCAACAGAGCATGACCATATTGATTATTAAACAAAAACAAAAAAACCTCAATCTTCAAAGAGCTGCCTATCTCAGGATTTCAGAAATCGCCTCCAGCACAGAATGTCAAGGAGTTCTAAGTAAACATACTAAATGGGTGACAGAGGTTGAGGGATTCCAGAGAGAAAAAAATAAGACCCCTTTCTCATATTAGTTGTATTCATACACTCATATCACGTATTTTAATTTCTTAAAAATGTTATTTATTTTCAGAAGGAGGGGGAGGGAGAGAATGCATGCGTGAGCTAGCAGTGGAGGGGCAGAAAGACTGGGAGAGAAAGAGAGTACGAAGCCCAATTCACAAACCATGAGATCGTGACCTGAGCTGAAATCAAGAGACCTCTTATCACGTATTTTAAAAGGAAACACAGAACTGGGCAGTGACACCATATCCTGAGGATAACCTGTGGCCTAAAATGTACATGGGTATATAAATTCAAAAATTTTTTTTGGCAAAACTTATAAACAGCCAACGTACATAGTAAATTTTATTAACATGATCATTAAACATTTCTGCTCATGAGGCACCTGGGAGGCTCAGTCGATTAACCAGCCAACTTTGGCTCAGGTCATGATCTCGTGGTTCATGGGTTCGAGCCCCGCATTGGGCTCTGTGTGGACAGCTCAGAGCCTGGAGCCTGCTTTGGATTCTGCGTCTCCTTCTCTCTCTGCCCTCCCCTGCTTGCACTCTGTCTCTAAAATAATAAATAAACATAAAAAAATTTTTTTTTAACATTTCTCCTCAAAAGGCTTTAATCAGTAAAACTGAGCAAGCATATCAATCAGTTGATAAAATTTAATATTTTGCAAATGAGACTAAACTAAAAACAACCTTTAAAATGACTGGCTCCTCACAGCTATTTGTTTTTAACTATTTATTTATTTTTGAGAATCAGTGTGATTATTTTCTACTAATTGTAGATTATGCTTTGGATGAACCCGCTTACTGTCAGTACACTAGTAATTAATATTCAACTATCTTTAGCATAACTTTATTTTATTTTTTATTTTAAAAATGTTTATTTATTTTGAGAGAGCATGTGCACCTGTGAGTGGGGGAGGGGCAGAGAGAGAGGGGGAGAGAGAATCCCAAGCAGGGATGGATCCCATGACTTGAGCTGAAATCAAGAGTTGGACGCTAAACCGATGGGGCCATCCAGGTGCACTCAGCATAACTTTATTTTATGTAAGTACTGTATATCAAAATGTTTTTAAATTTTGAAATAAGCTTCTAAATTGTGAATTCTGATTATAATGAAGATCTTAACCCTATGTTACAAATCAGATGATTAATCTAAATTATCTTTCATTAAGCTAGAATTATTAGTGCACAAGAAATGAAACTTTAAACATTCCATATATATTCATATAGTAAGTCGCTAATCTATGAAAAGGTAGTTTTATGGTGTGATATTTGGGATTTCTTCTATGTTGATATGTGATTTTTAATAGACTATTTTTAGAGCAGTTCAGATTCACAGAAAAATTGAGAAGTCAGAGATTTCTGCTATGCTTCTTGACCCCATAATATGCAAAGCCCTCCCCTATTTTCAACATCCCTCACTGTAGTTATACATTTGTTAATACTGAGGAACCTATAATGACACAACCTTATCACTCAAAGTCCATAGCTTACATTAGAGTTCACTCTTGGTGCTGTTCATTTTGTGAGTTTGGACACATTTATAATGATATGTATTCACTACAGAGTAGGTACAGTGTCCTAAAAATCCTCTCTGCTTCACCTATGCCTATTTATCCCTCTCTTCTCCTTAACTCCTGATAACCGTCAGTCTTTTTACCCCATAGTTTTGCCTTTCCAAGAATGCCATACGGTTGGAATCAAACAATATGTAGCCTTTACAGACTAGCTTCTTTCACTTAATAATATGTGTTTACGTTTCCTCCATGGTTTTTTTCATGGCTTGATAGCTCATTTCTTTTTAGTGCTAAATAACTGTCTGAATGTACCACAGTTTATCCATTCACCTAACTAAAGGACATCTTGGTTGCTTCCAAATTTTGGCAACTGTGAAAAAAGCTGCTATAAACATCCATGTTGAGTTTTTTTGTGTGGACATAAGTTTTCAGCTCCTTTGGATAAATACAGAAGAGTGTAATTGTTGGACAATATGTTAAGAGTATATTTAATTTTGTAAGAAACCATCAAACTGCCTTCAAAAGTGGCCATACCATTTTGAATTACCACCAGCAATGAATGAGAATTCCTGTTGCTCCACATTTTCCCCAGAGGTTGGTGGTATCAGGGTTCTGGATTTTGGTCATTCTAACAGGCACATCTGGCACATACTTGATGTAATGAATGGCACCTCATTATTATTTTAATTTGCATTTCCATGGTGACATATGATGTGTAGCACCTTTCTGTATGTTTATACGCCATCTGTATATGTTCTTTGGTGACGTGTCTGTCAAGGTCTTTGGTCCAGTTTTTAATTGAGCTGATTTCTTACTGCTGAGTTTTAAGAGTTCTTCATATATTCTGGATAACAGTCTTTTGTCAGTTATGTCTTTTGCAAATATTTTCTCCTAATCTGTGGTTTGAATTTTCATTCTCTTGACTATCTTTCACAGAGCAACTTTTCATTTTAATGAAGTCCAACTTACCAATTGTTTCTTTCATCAATCGTGCCTTTGATATTATATCCAAAAATTCATTACGAAACTCAAGATCATCCAGGTTTTCTTCTATGTTATCTTCTAGGAATTTTATAGTTTTGCATTTTACATTTAGGGTTGTGACCCATTAAAAAAAACTTTTTAATGTTTATTAATTTTTGAGAGACAGAGAGGCAGAGCATTAGCAGGGGAGAGACAGACAGGGAGGAAGACAAAGAATCTGAAGCAGGCTCCAGGGTTTGAGCTGTGGGGCTCAGAGTCATGAGCCATGAGACGAACTGAGCCGAAGTCAGACACTTAACTGACTGGGCCACCCAAGTGCCCCAGGAATGTGACCTATTTTGAATTAATTTTTGTGGAGGGTGTGTCTGGATTCATTCTTTTACATGTGAATGTCTAATTGTCCTAGCACCATTTGCTAAAAAGACTTATCTTTGCTCCACTGTCTTGCCTTTGCTTCTTTGTCAATGATCAGCTGACTGTATTTATGTGGGTCTATATTTTACTCCATTCTAGGTTGTTTTATTTCATTTATTTTATTTCATTGATCTGCTTGTCTATTCTTTCACCAAGATCACGCTATCTTGATTATTATAGCTTTAGAGTGAGTCTTGAAATCTGGTAGTATTAGTCTCTGACTTTCTTCTTCTCCTTCAGTGTTGTGTTGGCTATTCTGGGTCTTTTGTCTCTCCAGATATACTTTACAGTCAGTTTGTCAATATCCACAAAACAACTTACTGAGATTTTGACTGGGATTGCACTCAATCTATGGATCAGGCTGTGAAGAACTGACAATTTGACTGAGTCTTCCTATCCATGAACATGGACTATCTCTTCATTTATCTACTTCTAGTTTGATATCTGTCATCAGTTTTCCTCACATAGACTTTGTATATTTTGTTAGATATATATCTAAGTAATTTTTTTTACATGCTAAGGTAAATGGCACTGTGTTTTTAGTTTAAAATTCCACTTGTTAATTGCTGATATGTGGGAATACAATGGACTTTTGTATATTAACTCTATATCCTGCAACCTTACTATGCTATGATTGCTTCTTTCTTTTTGGTTGAATTTTTTGGGGTTTTACTTTTATTTTTTATTTTAGAAAGACAGCACACAAGCAGGGAAGAAGGACAGAGGAAGAGAGAGAGAGAGAGAGAGGGAGAGATTGATTTTTAGGCAGGCTCCATGCTCAATGTGGAGCTTGACGTGGGGCTCAATCCCATGACCCTGGGATCATGACCTGAGCCAAAATCGAGTCAGATGTTCAACTGACTGAACAACCCAGGGCCCCCCCACCCCCACCACTTTTTTTTTGTTTTCTACATAGATAATCATATCAAATTTCTTCCTTCCCAATCTATGTAACTTTTATTTCCATTTTTAGTCAAATGGCATTAGCTAGTACTTCCAGGATGATGTTGAAAAGTAATGGTAAGAGGTCACATCACTGCCTTGTTCCTGATCTTAGTGGGAAAGCTTCTGGTTTCACAGCTGTAGGCTTTTTGTAGATATTCTTTATCAAGTTGAGGAAGTTCCCCTCTGTTTCTAGTTTACTGCAAGTTTTTATCATGAATGGGGATTGGATTTTGTCAAAGCTTTTTCTATAGCTGCTTATATGATACCCATGTGATTTTTAATGTAGACATTAGTAACAAGGTTGGATCACACTTCTGAATCTGGTGAACGGCATATAAATAATGGTATGTTATATACTATGCATCTCTCTCTACCCAATTCACCATTTCACTGCCCAATGATGACAAAAAAAAAAAATATTTGGTTAACCTCAAACAACAAAGTTAAAATTAGATAGAAAGGTTGAACCTTTCTAGAGAAATATACTAATTCTATTAAAAATTCACAGTAATACTAAAGCGAGTATTTAAAATTACTATTATTAAAAAGCCTTCATGAATATTTACTATTAATCACCACCAACATTCCTACCTTTTGGGCACAATATGACCAAATGATAACTAGATATTTTTTCAAGTACTCATGGAGTATTTCCAAAATTATACCCTATAGTGTACCATAAAGAAAATCACAACAAATGTTAAGAATCAATATCATATAGACTATAATCTATGGCCTCTATTTAACTAGATTAGAAACCAATAATAAAAAGATATCTAAATACCTATGCACATGGAGATTCAAAATTAGACTTCTAAAAAATTCACATATCCAAAAAAGATCATATTGAATTTTTCATTTTACTTGTATAAAATTTGGGCATTTATAACCAGTCTTTTTACTATTTGCTGTAGATTAAAGTTCATTTTATTTATTTATTTATTTATTTATTTATTTATTTAGAGATCAGGGGAGGGGAAGAGAGAGAGGAGAGAAAGAATCTTAACCAGGCTCCTCAGCACTGTGAACCTAGAGTCCAAAGCAGGGCTTGATCCCCTGAACTGCAGGATCATGACCTGAGTCAATATCAAGAGTTGGATGCTTAACCAACTGAGCCACCCAGGCGCCCCACTATTTACTGTAGGTTAAAAATAATCTCTCCTATTTGGCAGAGTTAAAACCTTGAGTTTTCTTAAGAGAAACTGTAGGAGAAATAAAAGCTGTGTTGCTCTCCAAAGGGAGACATGTGGGTAGAGAGAGACTGGTTCTGGCCTTTTCTTAAACCTATCAAAAAAAATCTGCACACTAACTTAAAATACAGGTTTTTTTTCCTTCCTGCAAGCATAACTTAGTTTGGGGTTAGCTAAAGTATGCTTAACCTCCCTCCTTGACTTAATGTTTATGGTCCAGCTGATAAAATTGGTATTTAAGAATATAAATCAATAGCCAACATCAGGTTATTATGTCTCAAACTATAGTGTGAGTTTCTGAGTTACCTGACAAAATCTGCTTTTTAAAGTAGTTGAACATGTCCTCCTTCAAACATATTTCTCAATGTTTGATATTTCAAACACTTTTCAGTTATTCAGGACAGTTCCCCATGGAATCAACATGACATCACATAATATTTAATATCTTTAGAAAAATCCACTTAGCTATGTATTATAATTGTTTCACTATAAATCCTAAGAAATATAGTTTTTTGCTTGAAATTGAGTTTACACAGCTCTGGTTGTGTAAACAGATAAGAATTATTTTTAAAAGCCCTGCAGATCTTATCCAACACACATTCATTCCTTTGGGAAAACAGAAAGAGATAATGTTCTTGTCCTTCCAGAGTTTACAAGCCATTAAATGATCCTGCACTGGGGAAAGACTTTCTTCTAGCTACGAATCTACTCAAAGCTAAACCAGTCCCTGTAAGACAACAAGCAAAATAGCAAGGTAATAGAAGAAGTAGTAAAACTTGAAAACAACAATTAATTAGACATGACTATTTGGCCACACTGCATCCCATTAGTTTTACTTAAGGTTCCTACATCCTTAACACAAATGACATTAAACAAAAAGTAACACTGGTTTCTAGTCTATTACTCTCAGGACCTGTACACAAAGACTAAAGTCTCAAGATGTACATTACAGAGTTTGTAGAATGTGGAAAAAGATCTGTTCTTTCCTTCAGAATTGTTTAAATATTAGTCAATAAGTATTTATTAAAATACATACTGGGAAAACACTGTGCTAGGCAATGAAGATAAAAGAAGGCATAAGACTTTTCTCCTTCAAGGTGTTTATAATATAATTGGAAAGATAAGATTTGTATAAAGTAAGAGAAAAGGAGAGTGAGGGAAGAAGATGGGAGATGGAAAGAGAACTAACATAATGTAACATATTTATTACAAGACATAAGTTGTTGCTAAGTTTTGTAGGCAGCATTAAAAGTGAGGTAGAGATTCAGAAAGGATTAGAGTTTGTGAAGTGGAAAATATCTTCCCAATCTCTAAAAATTCTTGTACTTTCATTCCCCTATGAGCAAGGTTATTAAATTCCATTTCATCATATCTTAATGTTAAATTTACATATTTAATCTCACCTCTATCGAAACAAGTATTTTTTTTCCTTTCTCCTCTTTGCCTATTTATCCTTCAGTACTCTATCTCTTTTGGGAAGCTTGTCTTTCTTCTATCCCACTGATATATATACTTTCTCTTACTTTCTACTTAATCTCCCAGATGAAACTAGCATGTGTTAGCAGCTGCAGATGGGTGCTTCATAGCATGCTGTGCATTGTCAAAAAAAAAAGTAATAGTAAAATGTGATAAATGCCATCCATCTGTCCTCCTAGACCATAGGCTCCAAGATTACAGTTAACATGTTTATCTTGATTTTTAATCTTTTCCTAGAATCTAGCATAGTTCCTGGCTTAGTATCTTCTGAATGAACAAGAATGTGCATTACAAGACACATTAAAATGTATCCTGGCTTTAAAATAAGCAATATTCAGGGTCGCCTGGGTGGCTCAGTTGGTTAAGCTTCCAACTCTTGGTTTTGGCTCAGACCACGATCTCATGGTTCGTGAGATGAAGCCCCATATCATGCTTTGTGCTGACAGCATGGAGCATGCTTGGGATGTTCTCTCTATCTTTCTCTCTCTACCCCTCCCCTGCTCTCTCTCTCACCCTCACTTTCAAGGTGAGTAAATAAACATTAAAAAAATAAGAAAAATAAAATAGATAATATTCAGAAGAATATAGTCTTCTAACCTACCATTTGAAGGGCTGAAAGTTCTTCTGTTAGTCGAGAAATCTGTACATTATACTGTTTTCTTGTGCTTGCAACCTGTAATTAAGACATTCATAAATTGTTTAGATTCACAAAAATTGATTAATACCCAATAAAAATATTTAGGATAATTTTGAGAAAAAAATAAAACTTTTATGGCATAAAAAATAAATAACCACCTGAGTATTAAAGAGTCAAGAATTATTTAAAAAAAATTTTAATGTTTATTTTTGAGAGAGAGAGAGAGAGAGAGAGAGACAGAGTGTGGCTGGGGGAGGGGCAGAGAAAGAGGGAGACAGAATCTGAAGCAGGCTCCAGGCTCTAGGCTGTCAGCAGAGAGCCCGATGGGGAGCTGCGAGATCATGACCTGAGCTAAAGTCAGACACTTAACTGACTGAGCCACCTAGGTGCCCCTAAAGGGTCAAGAATTTATCACAACAGTGGAAGGAGAGTGAATTTCTATGAAAACTTACCATATTTGAAGTGAAAACTGGCAACATTTCAAAATATTTACTTATTAATCCCCTTATAGGTATTAAGTCATTATAGGTTAACATAAATAACATTTTATGAAAAATAAGTTCATTTTCCAAAATAAAAAATTTTCTAGAAAAATGTTATTATTTTACATTTTTGTAAATTTCCTTAATGTTTGAACAGGGGACAGCCAGATTCACATTATCTACTTCTGTGTTCAACCTGTTGTGTTGCTTACCATCAGCCTCTGGAAAACACCACTGTATACTCATCAGAGAACGAGTATGAAAAAAGAAAACAGTAAACTATAATTATGAAAGTAGGTGTGACCTTCCAGATTCTCTGAACAACACTTTAAGAACTGGTGCCATAGAGCAAGTCAAGAGAAAAACTGAATTACACACTAAAAATGTAACTAGTAACTTTTAAGGCACTTTTGTTTTATAAGAAGAAAAATATTTTCATATTGCATATATTTCAGTATAAAGTAAATTACTTTGTGAGAAAAACTCTTATTTCAATTAACATTTAAAATACTTCAGAAACAGTATGACTTATGTGTACAAAATATTTTGAAGAATTAGTTACATCTCATCAAGATGACTCCTATGACAGTATATTTTTCTAATTAATAACTACTCATACTTTTTAAAAAGACCATGAAGGAAGGAGGAATTAAGATGGCAGAGCATCATGGAGATCCTGAGCTTGTCTTGTCCTTGAAACACAGCTAGAACAGCACCAAACTATTTTGAACGCCTAGGAAATTGTTTGGATGATTAATGCAACAATCTGCATAACTTGAGTTTGTCCTTAACCTATAAGGGAAGATAGCTCAGGGTTGCAATAAACCTATATACAAGAAATTTTGCAGGCCAAAAAGGAGTGATATATTCAATGTGCTGAATTGGAAAATTATGCAGCCAAGAAATCTTTATCCAGAAAGGCTGTCATTCAAAATAAAAGGAGAGATAATGAGTTTCCAAGACAAACAAAAACTAAAGGAGTACGTGACCACTAAAGCATCCCTGCAAGAAATTTTAAGAGGGACTCTGAGTGGACAAAAGAGAAAACAAAACAAAACAAAGATCAAAGCAACAAAGACTAGAAGCACCAGGGAACATTACCAGAAACAACTCTATAGGGAACACAAGGGCACTAAATTCATATGTTTCAGTACTCACTCTAAATGTCAATGGACTAAATGTTCCAATCAAAAGACATAGGGTATCAGAATGGATAAGAAAACAAAAGACACATTTATATGCTGCTTACAAGAGACTCATTTTAGACCTAAAGACACCTACAGATAGAAAGTAAGGGGATGGAGAACAATCTATCATGCTACTGGTTGTCAAATGAAAGCTGGAGTAGCCATACTTATATCAGACAATCTAGACTTTAAAATAAAGCCTGTATCAAGAGATGAAGGAGGGCATTATATCATAATTAAGGGGTCTATCCATCAAGAATATCTAGCAATTGTAAACATTTATGCTCCAAGTGTGAAAGCACCCAAATATGCAGAAAATCAACAAGGAAACAATGGCTTTGAATGACACACTGGACCGGATGGTTTAACAGATACATTTAGGGCATTTCATCCTAAAGCAGCAGAATACACATTCTTCTTGAGTGCACATGGAACATTCTCCAGACTAGATCACATAATGGAACACAAATCAGCCCTCAACAAGTACAAAAAGATCAGGATCATACCTTTCATATTTTCAGACCATGAGTTTGCTATGAAACTCGAAATCAACCACAAGAATAAATCTGCAATAACCATGAACACTTGGAGATTAAAGAACATCTTACTACAGAATGAATGGGTTAACCAAGAAATAAAAGAGGAAATTAAGAAGTACACAGAAGCCAATGAAAATTAAAACATGACAGCCCAAAACCTCTGGTATGCAGCAAAGGTGGTCATAAGAGGGAAGTACATAGCAATCCAGGCTCTCCTAAAGAAGGAAGAAAGGTCTCAAATACACAACTTAACTTTACACCTTAAAGAGCGGGAAAAAGAACAAATAAAGCCCAAAACCAGCAAAAGAAGGGAAATAATAAAGATTAGAGCAGAAATCAATGATATAGATTGAATCAAAGAAACAACAGATCAACAGAACCAGGAGTTGGTTGTTTGAAAGAATTAAGAAAATTGATAAACTCCTAGCCAGATGGATCAAAATGAAAAAGGAGAGGAGAATGAATAAGGCGAACGAAAGAGGAGAGATCATCACACCAGAGAAATACAAACTATAATAAGAGAATATTATGAGCAATTATATGCCAACAAACTGGTCAATCTGGAAGAAATGGAAAATTTGAATAGACCCACAACCAGTAAAGAAATTAAATCAGTAATCAAAAATCTCCCCAAAAACAAGAGTCCAGGGCTGGAAGGCTTTCCAGGGGAATTCTACCAAACATTTAAAGAAAAGTTAACACCTATCCTTTAAACCTGTTCCAAAAAATAGAAATGGAAAGAAAACTTTCAAACTCATTCTACAAGGCCAGCATTACCTTGAATCCAAAACCAGACAAAGACCCCCTACTAAAAAGGAGAACTACATACCAATTCCTTTGATGAACATGGATGCAAAAATTCTCAACAAGATACTAGCAAACCGGATCCAACAATACATTAAAAGATTTATTCACCACAATCAAGTGGGATTTGTTCCTGTGATCCAGAGCTGGTTCAATATCCATAAATCAATTAATGTGATACATCACATAAATTAAAAAAAGGGTAAGAACCACATGATCCTCTCAATAGATGCAGAGAAAGAATTTGACAACATACAGTATCCTTTCTTGATAGCTGTTAAGAAAGTAGGGATAGAAGGAACATACCTCAAGATCATAAAGACCAGATATGAAAGACTGACTGCTAATATCATCCTCAATAGAGAAAAACTGACAGCTTTCCCTCTAAGGTCAGGAACGTGACAAGGAGGCCCAATCTCTCCACTACACTGTTATTCAAAATAGTGTTGGAAGTCTGAACCTCGGCAATCAGACAAAAAAAAAGAAATAAAAGGCATCTAGATCAGCAAGGAGGAAGTCACACTTTCATTCTTTGCAGACGACGTGATATTTTATGTGGAAAATCTGAAAGACTCCATCAAAAACTGCTAGAACTGATCCAGGAATTCAGCAAAGTAGCATAATATAAATTCAATGTACAGGAATCACATTTCCATACACCAATAATGAAGCAACAGAAAGAGATAACAACAGGGAATTGATCCCATTTACAATTGCATGAAAAACCATAAATATCTAGGAATAAACTTAATCAAAGAGGTGAAAAATCTATACACTGAAAACTATAGAAAGGTTATGAAAGAAATGGAAGAAGACACAGAACAGTGGAAAAACATTCCATGCTTGTGGATTGGAAGAACAAATATTGTTAAAATGTCGACACTACCCAAAGCAATCTACACATTCAATACAACCCCTATCAAAGTAACACCAGCATTCTTCACAGAGCTGGAACAAACAGTCTAAAATTTGTATGGTACCAGAAAAGACCCTGAATAGCCAAAGTAATTTTGAAAAAGGAAACCAAAGCTGGAGGCATCACATTTCCAGACTTTAAGCTGTATTACAAAGTTATAATCATCAAGACAGTATGGTACTGGCACAAAAACAGACACATAGATCAATGGAACAGAACCCAGAACCCAGAAATGGACCCACAAACGTATGGGCAACCAATCTTTGACAAAGCAGGAAAGAATATCCAATGGAAAATAGACCATCTCTTCTGAACAGTGTTGGGAAAACTGGACAGCCAAATGCAGAACAATGAATCTGGACCACTTTCTTACACCATACACAAAATAACCTCAAATTGGATGAAAGAATTAAACATAAGACAGAAAGCCATCAAAATCCTAGAGGAGAAAACAGGCAACAACCTCTTTGACCTCAGCTGTAGCAACTTCTCACTGGTCTCCAGAGGCAGGGGAAACTAAAGGAAAAATGAACTATTGGGACTTTATCCAAATAAAAAGCTTCTGCACAGCGAAGGAAACAATCAGCAAAACTAAAAGGCAACCGGCGAAATGGGAGAAGATATTTGAAACAACATATCAGATAAAGGGTTAGTATCCAAAATCTATAAATAACTTATATCAAACTCAACATCCAAAAAACTAATAATCCAGTGAAGAAATGGGCAAAAGACATGAATAGATACTTTTCCATAAGAGAGATCCAGATGGCTAACAGGCACATGAAAAGACGCTCAACATCACTCATTAGCAGGAAAACACAAATCAAAACCAAAATGAGATACCACCTCACGCTTATCAGAATGGCTAAAATTAACAACTCAGGCCACAACAGATGTTGGCAAGGATGTGGAGAAAGAGGAATCCTTTTGCACTGCTGGTGGGAATGCAAACTGGTGCATTCCCTCTGGAAAACAGAATGGAGGTTCCTCAAAAAATTAAAAATAGAACTACCCTACGACCCAGCAACGGCACTACTACATATTTATCTGAAGGATACAAAAATGCTGATTCAAAGGGGCACACGCAGCCCCTTTTTTTATAGCAGCT